GGTTTCGGCAGGCAGCGGAGCCGCCTTCGCCGTGCAGAAGCTGGTGAACAAGAAGCTGCCGTACAGTCTGCAGTGGAGCCTGCTGCTGGCCGGGGGTGAGTGTCCTGCCTGGCCCTGCCAGTCCCTGCCCATCCCCGCCCGTGCCTGGGCAAGCCTGGGGGATCCGCTCTGGGCGGCGTAGCAGCAGGAGCAGGGCCGTGTTGCAGGCAGAAGGGCTGTTTGTCCGTAGTGTGGGGGATTTTCTCCCCTGGCTCCTGTCACATCCCCGCTCCCCACGGCCCCGGGGAGCTCAGGGACGGCTCGCAGGCAGCTGCAGGAGCTCAGAAGCTGGCAGGTGCTTTCCCCACCGCTGCTCTTAGCAAATGCCCTTGTTGCCAACACTCTCAGGAGCATCTTGGTCCCTCCAGCCGCAGGGTCCCTTGCCAGCTACATGGTAACCAGAGCTGAGACGCAGAAATGCTCCGATTTCTGGATTTACCTGGAGACAGGCAAGTCCCCACAGGAGCTCGCCATGGCTGGTAGGGTGTCTCAGCCCGCAGGTACGTTCACATCTCTCCCTGTTGCTTTCCCTGGGCTTGTCCTGCCTGGTTCTTCCCTGCTGTAACAATTTGCTGTTCCCGCCTCATAATTAAGCTGGCGACTGTTTGTGTCATTGCTAAAATCCCCATATAAGTCCCACACTGGCACCCTGCAGCCGAGGGATGGGAGCAGGCACCTGGGGTGGCAGCAGTGCTAGTGTGGCCAGAGCTCCCTGCCTGGTCTCATGGCTCCCGTGTCCCTCTGTGCTCCGGGCCCACCACCTGCACTGCAGGTACCTGAGCAGGGCTGGCGGCATGGGGTGGGAGCGCTCGCTTCTGCCTGCTACCCTGCCTGCTTTGTGGAATCACAAGGGCCAATGTGAAGGGCTTGTTTGCTGGAAGAGGAAGAAGAGGGTAGGGGATGGAGGGAGGCAGTAAACCCCTCCTTGCCTTGGTTGCTCTGTACAGTGGGCAGAGCTGGAGGGGCACCAGAACAGCCGCTGCTGGATGGTTCCCACGGTTGCCTGCTGCTTTCTCCTACTGGTACCTTGAGCTCCCAAAGCTGGGACTAGCTGAAGAGGCTTTAAATGCTTCACCAGGGCTCTGTGGTTCTCTGCCTGCCCCTCGCAAACATGGCGGGGTAGTCAGGGGTCCAGGGAGCTTGTTCTTTTTGTTGCAGAAAATCTGCCCAGCCCAGAGGACAGAGAGAGCGCGGCAGCACTGGTGAGGAGGAACAAGTACGGGGATGTTGTGGAGTAGCCAGCAGAGCACAGCGCACCGTGCCTGTGTCCTGCTTCACCCCTTCCTGCCTGCCCAGCCTGCCTGTGCCTGTGCTGCCTGCGAGACTGGTGGGCTCTGTGGCACTGCCTGGGAGCTCGGATGGGTCGATCCTGTAGTGAGAGCGTGGTGGAAGCACTGTAGGAATTGCTGCCTCCCAGGTGGCCTCTGAACATCGCACATGGGGGGTATAATAAAAGTCAAGAGCTGAAAGCACATGTTGTGGACGAAGCGAAGGCTGGTGGTGGGACAGGAAGAGCTGGGGTGCAGGTGGTAAATGTCACCCTGAGGCAGCCCCTGCAGTAACTGTTGGAGCAGAGAGCGCTGGTCCCTCTGAGGCCACAGCACCCACAATCCGACAGCACAGGGCTGTGAAGTGAGTGCAGCCTCGCCATGGGAGGGAGTTCCTATGCTGAGGAGGCGAAGGGTCCGGTGAGGAAACTGGGTTTGGGGGCTCAGAACATCATCTGAACTGGCATCACTCTTGGCCTGTGCAGAGATGGGGAGCAGCCAGCAGAACAGCTAAAAGCAAAGTGGCTGCGGGGAATGAGTGGGTTAAGCCAAGCACAGCATACTGGGAGCTTGGCCGGAGCAGGGAGTGGAGCTTGTGCTGCCTGCGAGAGCAAGGAGAGCAGCAAGAAACCGCAACTCTCGCTAAAGCCTCTCCTCTCCTGGGGTGTGCGGAGGAACGTGGTGGGGCAGGAGGCTCTTTCCAGATGGGCTTGACGAGTCGGGACTGGCCCGGCACAGCTGCCCAGCGGCTGGATGCATGCAGTGGTGGCTCTGAGCTGCCAGCAACTGTACAAACAAATTGCAAGCCCTGTGGGCTGCTCTCCTGCCCTGCTTGGGTACCAGACCCAGTCCCCTGGGAGCAGAGGCTCCTTACGTGTTTTCCTTGTGTGGAGGCTGTGGCTGTGAGTGCAACGGTGAATGCACGGGGCAGTCAGCTTGAGCGCTGCCTGCTCACGCCTTTGGGGTGACTGGACCTCTAGTGCTTGGGAAACCCCAACTTTGCAACTGTGGCTGGTTGAAACTCTTCCACCTCCAGGTGGGCCTGAGTCTGGAGTGAGGTTTCGAGCCCACCTTGGTCCATCTTGGAGGGTTCTCCAGGCTGGTAGAGCATACGGAGCCATGATGGTGTCTCAGCACTGGGGAGGCTGCAAGGGATTGAGAACTTCAGGCAGAGCCTGACCTGCGGCTGTGTCCGAGTAGACCCCATAAGTGGCTCTACCCCTGTGGGACAGCCAGGCTTTATCGGCCTGTTGCTGGTCGAGAGCCACAGAGCCATAGGAGTGGTTACAAAGATTTATTTCTGATTATAAAAAAACCAACCAAACAAAACCAAATCTTCTGCATGTTTGCATGTCCCTGTTCTTACTCAATTGGAAACGAAGGCGCATCCTCCCAGCTGCCTGGTGTGGGGTGATGCAGGGCTCAAATACTAAAGCAGTGCAAAGCCCCACTCCCGCAGTGAGCCCATCACCTCTGTGCTGGCACGGCCACGCACCAGGGAACCATAGGGGCTTTTTGTGCCATTGCCAGGTGGGCGGAGGAGGATCTGGCTGTGGCAAAGGCGAGTCTGGCTTAGGAACCACAGGAATGGGGAAGGTCCCGTGTATGGTTGCTGAAGTGGGACCTGGGAAGCTGCCTGCTCCCCATGTCTGGTTGTTGCTAAGCCCCTACCCAAAGCCCCTGTGCTGAGGCTGGTGGAAGTCCAGGCCAAGATCTGGCCCTCAGGAAGGTCAGTGGGGTTTGTGCATCGGCCAGAAAGACGGTACGGGCTCTGGGTGATGCACAGATCTCCCCGGGAGGCAGGGCTGATGCTCCAGGGACAGGCTAGAGAGGTCAGCTATAAGGACTAGCGTAAGTAATACTCCCCACCCACCCCATGCACATGAGAACAAATCATGCTGTTGTCTGGACTTACTGGCCCAGTCCAGCCCAGGTCTGGTGGCAGAAAGATGCCCTAGGTCTGAACATCCAAATCCCAAGCCTGCTCGAGGGTCCATCCCCGAGTAGCACTGGGAAACCCTTAAGCCATTCTCCTGCAGGGCCGGCGGTCCTCTTCTGTCCCCCCCTTTCTGCAGCTTGAAAGCAAGGGGAGGGCAAAAAGGGACAGCTTTCCTTCTGGGACAGGAAGCATCAGATATTGGAGGAGGACATCTCCAAGCACTTGCTGCATCCCAAGTGTTCAGGCCATGGATACTCCAGCAGGAAGGATGGTGCTGGGTCCTGCAGACAAGGCCCACCCTGTCCCTGCCGTTAGATTGCACTGGACTTGCTGCGCCGGAGCAGGCAGACAGCAGTCACCAGAGATGTCAGGGTGGTGACCACAAAGAGCAGGATGAGAATGACCCAGTAGTTGTACAGCATGCTTTTGTGGGAAGAGGGCTTCTCCGCCGGGATCATGTTGGTGAGGTTCAGCATGTAGCCCAGGGCCCAGCCAATGGACGTTTCTCCTGCCTGTGGAAACAGCATGGCATGGTCACCATCCCAGCTAACCCGGCTCCATGGGCCTCAAGAGACCTTCCAGGGACCACCTCAGTGTCAGCCTAATGGAGGAGAGGGGTGTGGGGGAGTCCACAGTACCCTGAACCCTCGCTCACCCACGGGACCAGCCAGCCCAGGGACGAAGCAGTGACCATCCTGTGCTGAGCTGGGCTCATCCGATGGGAGCAGGATCTCATCCGCTCAGGACAGTCCTGATCTTGCTGCCCACCCCATGGCTCGTGCAGGTGAGGGCACTTGGCAAAGGTGAGATCCTGCCCTGAGATAATTTCCCAACATGCCTGAGCAAAGAGTTGTTTGAGATGGCTGGTGTCTTGAGGGCCAAGGAAGGACTGGAGGACCTGACTCCATGACCTCCCTACAGTCAGCTCATTTTTTTTTTCCATCTCCCAGAAGATCCACCCAAAAACTGGGAGTCCCATCCTGTCCCTGTTCCCCGAGATCTTTCCTCACACTGCTTGGCTCTTCCTTGGCATGGGATCATCTCTCCTGCAGGGCTTTTTGGCCTAACTCCAAACAGATACCATGGGATGGGTGTGTGCTCTGGTGTTACCCACCTTCTTCTGGAAGGCGATGTTGGGGAAGGAATGGTTGTTGAAGTTGTAGCCTTTGGTGGTGAGCAAATAAATGAACGTGCTGACAGCGCAGTAATCCAACAGCCTCTTCTCCAGCTTGGGGGCTTTCTGGAGCAGCTGGGTGGGATGCATGGAGGAACAGAGAAAAGGGGTCAAGCCAGCGGGGTCAAGCCAGCAGGGTCCAGGCTTTTTTTCTGTGGCCTGAGGCTCTGGGTGGTCACATGTGGCTGGCCAAGGTGCTGCTCATACCCACCTGAGCCTCTCCTGGTCCCATGTGGGAGCCGTCACTCACCCTCCCACTACTCCACGGGTGCCAGGACACCCAGCCCCCTCCAAGGGCTGCTCTCAGAGCCCAGGTGATGCCCCACACAAAGCAGCCCTCTCCTCCCCACCATGCCTGAGGAGCCCACCTCGCTCCAGCTGGTGGCACAGATGGTCTCGGCAGCATCCTTCAGGTCACTGGGCAAGTGCACGGGTCTCCCCATCACTGTCTGGATGAAGTCGACCGTGTAGAAGAAGGCAGAGAAGGCCTGACAGAGGAAAGGAGACAGCTGTGGGACAAGCTGGGAGCAAACCCTCTCGCCACGAACAGCCGCTCTGACCAGTGTAGTGGGCACAAGTGACGACCCTTGCAGAGCCAGGGGTCTGGCTTTGCTGCCGCATGATGCCAGGGGGACGGGGACACCTGCCCACCCAGCAGCCAGGCCACCACCCTGCTCCATGCCAGGACTTACGATGAAGTTTCCTGAAACCTCTGGCTGGAAAATGCCGTCGAAGGAGCAGCGGGAGAAGGAGCAGGTGGTGAAGTCAAAGAGCTTGCTGACATGCAGAGCGCAGAGGCTCCCGTTCCCAGTGCCGACCACAGTGATGGTGGTGTTGAGGGCAAGGCTGGGCCTCTCCTTCTCCATGCAGGGACTGTCATAGACGCTGCTCAGCGACAGGCTCTTTTGGTAGCCTGTAGGCCAGCAGGGATGGGGGACAGTTGCTCGGTAGCTCTCAGCCTGCCGGAGAAGCAACACATGGGATGCATGAGCCATGCCATAGCCCTGACTCCCCGAGCGCTGCATGGCAGCTCTGGCACTGCTGCCTGCCTGCCTCCATTTCCCTGCCGGGGAGATGCAGAGGAGCTTGGGCAGCGGGACACAGAGCTGGCAGTTGCCACAAGCGTCTTGAGATGACTTGGGACGTCTTGGCTCTGGCTGAGGGGTGCAACATATTATGGAGAGGGTGGGAGGAAGCCCTGGGACTATGGAAAAGGGTCGGGGGCAAAACCCAAGAGTTGGCTGGGAAAGGTGTGCAGCTGGCTCTGCGGGGCTGTCCTAGAGCCAAGGCTGGGGGACACCCCTGTATAAACACCAGGGTGAGCGGGCAACCGCGGGGTGATGACAGCCAGCATCCCCGTCGAGCACATGCTGGTACCTGGAGGATCTTTGACAGCAGCCTCTTGAGGACCTGGTCCCTTCCGTAGCAGAGGAAGCTGTGGGTGTACACTTTGTACACCTGGCCGTACAGCTTCAGCATCACCTCGTTTCTAGGGTCTTCGATGGTGTCCCTGGTTTCAAAGGTGATCTGTGTGGAAGCACCCCCGAAGTCCATAGCCCCCAGGGTCTTCTTCTGGGGCTGGATCCATTCCCCGAGCCACCCGCGCTGAGCAAGGAAGACAAGAGCAGGCATAAGGATGTGATGAGGCTGCAGGACAGCCTGGCCACCACAGCCATCCCCATCAGGCGCCTGCCCACCTTAATGAAGTTCTCCAGGAGGTAGTTTGCAGTGACCCAGCCGAAGACCCCTTCCTCTTCCCCCGACAGGATCTTTGCCCCCCGGAAATCAAAGGGGTACGACTTCAGCGTGGCTGCCACGGCGCTGAGGACAGCATCCGAAGCCTGCGGGTTCGCAATGCTGCGGGCCAGGCAAGAAGGCAGAGTGGCAGGGCTGTGCCGGGGTGCCGCCAGCGGAGCCCCCACTGCCCACACAGCCCTTGGGTCCCAGCCCTGCTATGGCACGTGGGGTGGGAGGCAGGTGGGTCCTCGCCTGGGTACCTGTAGGGATGTCTCCCAAAAAAACCCAGCTAATTCCCCTTGTCTCTGCCGGAGAAGGAGGCAGGCGGTAGGGATGGAGGTGTGCTCCCTCCTCC